GGCAATCGAGGCTAGCTCGGCATCTGTCGCGCATTGTTTTTGTTTTGTTTTTGCTATGTTTTTGCTTTTGCTTTGCTTTGCTGTGCGTTGATTGTGCTTTGCTTTGCCGTCGCTGCTGTTGCTTTGCCTTTGCTTTGCTGCTCTGCTACGCTATGCTGCGTTGTGCTGTGCTGCGCTATGCTATGCTAATGCTATGCTATGCTATGCTGCGCTATGCTGTGCTATGCTGGGCTATTGTATGATATGATGTGCTGCGCTATGCTATGCTACGATATGCTATGCTATGATGTGCTCTGCTATGCTAAAGCTCAGCGAAGCCAAGATGAAGGTAAGCTTCGCTAAGATAAACCTGAGCTAAGATGTATCTAAGCTAAGCTAAGATGAAATAAGCTAAGATAAGACGAGATAAGCAACGCTAAGCGATGGAGACGCAACTGGGGGAACCGCGGGGCGGATGCTGAGGGCGCCGCCCGGGGCGGTTTACACTGCCCGACCCTTTGAGGATTCAAGATGAGAACATTTCTAGGCAGAACCTAGGTAGGGAATGATAGAGCATGGTTGGCCCCCCCCCCATTCGGCGCCCCTGTTTCTCGATCGAAGCGCGCCCCATGCTGCTCGCGCCCCCTGCGACGAAGGCACCGAGGCGCAGACTCTGTTGCCCCCCCCCCCCCCGGCCACGGCGACGCAGGTTCCCGGGCGGGGGCCCGGACATCTCGACCGACCCGCGCTCTCAAGTTCCCACCCCCGTCTGCGGTGACGGCGTCGAACAGCGCGGCAACCAGGGGCCGGGAAGGGGTCGCGAAGGGCGGAGGGCGCTTGAGCCCCCTCGCGGCGGCGACGGCGGCGACGACTGCCCATTACGGGCTGGCGAGGGAAGGGTCGCACGCGGGGAGTGCGCGGGCCCCCCGCGCGGCGGCAGCGGCGACCGCAAGTGAGGCCGCCAGATCGTCTGCGGGGTGACAGCGTGGGTCAGAGCTCGAGCTAAACGGCGTTTCAGCGCCTTCGTGGCCGCTTCTGTTTTGACACCGGTTTGCAGCAAAAGCGGGGCGAACACATCGCAATGGAAAACGAGAGCAACACGAAAGCGACAAACGCTTTTCAGCTCAAATTTGGCCAGATCCAGATCATCAGAAAGCAAGTGAGATTTCCTTAGTGCAAGCGCTGCTTTGAGTCCGCGCCTCGGCCCGATGCACATGATTGGGCGAACAAAAGAGAAGACAGGGGTGCAGGTCTAGCAGTCGTAGAAGGGGAAAGTTGCATGGTTTCAGCAAAGACGGGGAAACAAACAACCGCGGCGGAACCATTCGCATTGAAGTGTAAACGTACCAGCCGTAGACACGGCTTGTATTATTCAGCCGTAGACACGGCTTGTATTTGTCAATTTGCGCATGAAGCTTTGAAGCAGTTGACTCGGTATTTGAGGTAGACGGAGCGATCGCAGCACGAGGACGCGTGGTAATAGTAATCGAATTTGGTCGTCGCACAGCATCAGCTTGTGGCGCCTTGGAGGCTTACGCGCGTGGAGGTACCCCCACTTCAAAGCACGCTGTTTGGAGGACATGTCCCCGTGGCGCTTCCTGACCTGACGGAGGTGCTGGCCGACGTGTCGCGCACTGGCCGTGCGAGGTAGGCCGCCGCCGCTGCTGGTGGCCTGACCGACTAGGCCCCGTTGGCTGTTAGATTGCAACAGTCCCAGACACTCCTTGACCGAGAGCTGGGCTCTGGATGGCGATTGGTTGAATAATGTTGTGGCCATCTGTTTCGGCGCTCCTCTGGGGATCTTGGATGGCGGCGACGAGGATGATCACAATCACGACGACGATGAAGGTGACGACGGGGTGGCGAGTGCGTTGATGATGGTGGACATAACGAGGTGATGACGATGATGACGATGGCGACGACGAGGACGATGACGAGGATGAGGATGATGATGTTGATGATGGTGATGGTGGTGGCGATGCTGATAATGATGATACCGATGATGATGCTGATGGTGAGTCAATTGAGTCCGAAAAGCCAGCCCTAGTCCAAGCCAGATAGGGAGCTGTACCGAGGACGCCAGTGGTTGCGTTCGCATGTCGCCACCCCCATAATTTGGCACGCGCCGCACACCTTTCGTGGACCCACAGGGGGCTCCACCTAATGCCCCAGTGGTTGCGTTCGAATGCCGCCGCCCCCCTCTTTGTAGCACTCCGCACGCCCTTCGCGGCGACCTGGGAAATTCCACCGAATGCCCCAATTGCTGCGTTTGCATGCCGCCATTCCCTTCGATTTGGCATACCCTTCACACGCTACGTGGCCCCATAAAGGGGCTACACCTCGGTTCCCAAATGCTGCGTTCGCACGGCACCTAAGGACCCAACGGCTGCGTTCGCATGCCGCCACCACCCCAATTGTGGCACACCCCTCACACGGTTCGTGGCCCCATTGCCCCAGTGGCTGCGTTCGCATGTCACCCTTTTTTAATTTAGGCACACCCCTCAGACGCTTCGTGGCCCCATATTGGTTTCTACCTAAGGACCCATTGGCTGCGTTCGCATGCTGCACCCCCCCCTTCACTTCGGCACACACCCCCCACACCCTTCGTGGCCCCAGATGGAATTCCACCTACGGACCCAGTGGGTGCGTTCGCACGCCGCCACCTTCCTACATTGGCACACGAACGCATCGCACGGTTCGTGGCCCCATCGGGGGCTCCACGAAAGGTCCCTGTGGTTGCGTTCGCATGCCGCCACCCCTTTCATTTTGGCACACCCCTGATAGTTTCGTGGCCCCATCGGGAGTTCCATTCGCATGTCTTCTCCCGCTTTTCAAAGCGCATGTCAGCCGCAACAGGTTACATCAGCATGTAATCCGTTCCGTCTGACCTCCGCACCCCCAGCAGGCGGCCCCAGCGGCAGCGCCCGCATGGTGTCCCCCCCCATGTCGGCTTCCCCCTCCCGCGTTTCGAAGCCCCGTGGGGAGCTCCACCGAATGCGTATTTCACAACGGCGGCATTCACAACCGCATAATGTTCAATATGTTTGGGTCTTTCGCTTGGATTTTTTTCCAACGCGCGGTCCCCAGGAACTCCGACCATTCCCAGGGACCTGCTTTTCATTCTGACCAGTCCTTTGACGGCCTCAGGGGCCTGGCCGGGGCTCCGGAGGCCGAACAAAAAAAGAGTAGGTCCGATTGGCATGTTCCAAAACCATTATATAGTTCACGCGGCGTTAACGCTCCAACGATGCCAACGAAAGCGTTCAAAGTTCAATTCTGCGACACAGAAGCAGTGGACCCGACAGAATTGAACATAGAAGGGGTTCAAGGTTGAACGACCGACGCGGTGTCAAAAATTTGGACGCGCGCCGACGCCGAACGAATTTGCTGCACGTTGACCCGGCGAGGGCCCTGGAGGCCGAGAAGGAAGGAATACCGAGCACCCTGGATAAGAAAGCGTGCCCCCATTTTGATCCCTGAGAGTTGATCGTCCCGGTCCAAGACAGACATCGTCAGGGGAAAGGGGTGGCGAGGCCGAATTTCATTATCGCCGGGGACTGCGAATCGGAGTTGCGATGCCCTTCCGTTGATGAGCAGCACTATGACGATGGAGTGGCAGGGCTGTGGAGTTCCATTTCAGCTTTCCTAACGAGCGCTTGGGACTCTCACCATTTCAGCTTTCCAAACTGACAATCATGTGGCAGGGCTAAGTTTCGTGTTCCTCCAACCCCTCCAGGGAGGCCCTGCCAGAGCAAGAAGGGGATCATTGTACCATACTATTTCGCATGTTCCGTTCTCCTACGGCCCCTCCTGGGAGACGCCTTCACAGCGAGCGGGGCATCGCTATACCATGGTATCGCGTGCTCCCCTCATTCCTCCAAGGAGGCCCCACCAGAGCGAGCAGGGCATGCCTGTACAATACTATTTCTCAGGTCTCATGCTCCTCCGACCCCTCGAAGGAGGCTTCGCCAGATCGAGCAGGATATGGTTATACCATACTAGCATATCACCGTGCATAAGAGTGCCAGGAGGAACAGCTATTATCCCCACTGAGCCCCGAATTTTATTATCCCCACCTTGTTGGTTATCAGGGGCATAGGGTAAATATGTCCGACTTGTAGCTTTCAATACGTTGGAGGTCCGGGTCTTCCTTTTCCTCCTCCGTTGGGCTGCAGATCTTTGTTGTGAGGCCCTTCTGTGGGGCGGCTTCGGACCTCCTGTGCCTCCGCGCCTCGGGAGTGCCGCCACGGGCCGGTGGCGGCCCGCGGCTCAACAGCGGGTCGTTCGGCGACATCTTGGCTGCGGTGATCGGGGAAGCGTAAGGCTCGAGCTCGCTGGAACTCGGATGTGCCGATTTTTGTTGACGAGCCCGTCTTGGATTTTGACGGTTCGTTCTCTTGGGATTTCTCCAGTTTTAGCTCGCATCAAATGTCAGATTGGGTCCCGTCATTTTCCTGACGGCCCCGTCAGGCCAACCCGAGCCCCCCGAGTCCGAGTCTTACTTCTCCCCGAGGTGAACGAGGCGGACCCGTCGGATTGGGTCGCACTCAAGGTGGAGGCTCGTCGCGGTGGACAGCAACGGAGGAGGGCCAGCCGAGACAACGGCGGTCCTCCCTGGCGTTTTTGGTTCCTCTTGGGCCTTCTGGAGGCTTCTCGTTTCCACGGCTGGATCTGCATCGATAAACGGGTGAGGATAGACCCCGGGAGGGATCCGTGGACCGATTCTGAAAAGTGTTGGGCCAGGCGGGGGAGACGGCGTTGTCTGAATTGGCCCTCCTCCGACGGTAGCACTCATGGTAAAACGAGACCAAGGCACGGTGATAAAGAACCAAGGACATGCTTGAATGTGTGTATTCTGGGGTGAGGGCACTCAGCAGAGGAGTTGTGGCAGCAAGGCGGATGTGTGTGAAGACGAAAAGCACACGGTCGACGATGATCAGGATACCATTTATGATGTCGACCTTGCGCTAGAGGCCCGCTACGAGCCCGCAGACTCGGAACGCCGCCGTACGCGACACTCAATGGTCGGCGGGTTGGGCGAGTCTCGCGGAGCCACCCATCATCCATCAGTGGCCGCCCTCCTAGACATCGTTCCCGCTTCCCCCTTCATCCTCCCCTCCTTGCTTTTGTGCTCCCAAACATTGTCTCCTCCCCTTTTCCTCTGTCTCTCTTGCCCTTGTTCCTTCTGTGCTTCTTTTATTGGTTCCCTCTCCTCATCTCCCTCCTCCCTAGACCTTGATTATCCGCGTTCGTCCTGCCCTGATTCCTCTTTCGCGTGCATGCGTGAACACTTGCTCCCGAGGCAAAGTTGTGGTTCCGCCAATGTCTGCTCTTTCCGAGCCCTTCTCGCCCTTTCGCTTCCCATCCTTTTCTTCCGCCATGGTTCAATTGCTACCAGTCGGTGGCTCAACAACCCAGTCCAAATAATCCATGTCTAACCAACGCTCGAGTCAACACCCTCTCCTCTCACCCTCCCCCACCCGTCCCGTCCGCTCGTTCCCGTAGCACCTCATTGTGTTTTCTCTTTGGTATGCATTTGTATTCCTATTCCTCGTTGGCTCGTCCTTACGTGCAGTTTGTTCGATGGAGAATGGGCGCTGTGCTGCCCATCTGGGTGCCGCTACGCTATTGCTGGCTGGTGTGATGTGAGCGCACACGTGCTGTCCATGTTTGGAAACCATGCGTGAATCGTGTAGTTGAAACGTGGGCTGTTGATCGGTGTGCTGCTTTATCAGACGCTCCTCTTCTGCCCCATCCCGTCTCGTCACGGTTTCTCTCTCCTTGCCACGACAGATCTCCTAGTTTCGTTGAGACGGGGCAGTCTCCGCCTCCCCCTTGCCCCTGCCCCTCCTGCCGTCGTGTTGGCCACTTGGTCGTGAGCTGCAGCCAGGTCCGCTTTGAGCAGATGGTCTGCAAGGAGCTCGCGCAGGGTGCCTGCGAAGGTCTTGCTTGCAGCTTAGCCTCTGCGCCCCCCCCCCCCATGACGCCGCCCCTGCTTGCTTCCCAGCGGGGACTTAGACTCGTGCTCCGCGCGTGCCCCTGCTCTGCGTCCAGGCGCTGCAGGTAGGGAATCTAGACGGCCCCTTCTCTTCTCCTTTCGCACAGTTGTTGAGCATAAGTCCAAGTATGGACCTCTTCGACAGCCTTTGACACGCAGGCTTGCACATCATGCAATCGGTGTTAGGTTGGAGCTTGTGACTCGGAAGTCAAGGAGAGTGTAAACAGAGGAGGGAGCAGGGGAGGCCTACGATCATGAGAATTAGCGAGGAAGTAATTCTGCACTGAGGCATAGAGCTGGCACGACTGACATACCAGCATGGCCGTTTCCACGTCGCTTGTACACGCCTAGCGCGTGTGCATTCCAATCATGCCGACTGTCCGCCTCGCTTGCGTCACCGCCGAAGGCGAGTTTTGTGCAGGTCCAGAGTGGGTGTTACCTGCTCGGGCGAGTCCTGTCAACACGTATGCATGTGGGCTGGACTGGGGCGAGCAAACGCCATCGCGTTAATATGTATATGTGCTCTTTTTCCGTTCATGAGGCTCCTTTGGATCAGCGTTTACAATCCGCGTCCACGGCGGCCTACAACGCCCTCTTATTGCCAAGCAGGCCTGTGTTCGGGCACAAACGCGCAGGATTTTCTTGGGGTGGGCCAGGCGGGGCGGCCCATGGGGGCCTGGGGTTGGGCGTAGCCGCGGGCCCCAATGGCAAAGCCTCCGAACAAGTCGGCGCCCGTGGAGGGCAGATTGGCAAAGCTTCTGAACAAGTCGGCGCCCGTGGAGGGCGTCCACGATATTCATGCGGGGGGAGGTGGGGGCTCACTCCTCGTTCTCGCGACCCTTGCTTCGTTTCCGCCTATTAATTTTTGGACCCGCGTCGCCAGTGCTGGATTCGCTTCGGGGAGCAGCGGTATCGGCCCCTTTAGGTTTCTTCAATTCGAGCGGGGCTGGTGGGCGGGTGGGTTTGGTTTACTCGTCTCCGCCCCTGGGAATGTTGGGGTATATCATGTAGTGCTTGTTGACGTTCCGTGCTCTGCATAGTGCCAGTATCAGATGCGGTCTTAGAGATGTTGTGCACAGGTGCAGTGCAAATCGATGGATGGAAGGCAGTAGGCTGGGGGGCCACTCCTCATGACCGTGATGGCCTTCGGTCACGCGCAGGCTGTTGCTTCCGGCCCGGCATTCAGGTGCGACATGTTAGTGGTCGCCGTTGCCAGCGTCCCCACGTAACACTTGATTCCATCAACGATTCCATCAACGATTGTCTCAGAGGAGACAGGGGAAAAGGATGACGATCCTGTCATGTCACTTCCTTGAATGTATGTTGCGAAGAAGGTTACGACGTGGACTCCCTTCGAGGCCGCTGTTCTATTGCCGTGCATGCCGCCGTTGATATTGGATATGTCGTGCGTTTGCCTATACGTGTTCTCATATTCTTACGGTGTGTGTGTTGTTGGTAAGGAAGGCATCGTCTATGAGTGGTCGGTCCAGGTGCCACGCAAGTGCGATGACCCGTTCCCTGATGATGTACCTCTAGTGATACTGCTGGATCACGTCCTCACCACATCGCCGAATGCGTTAATCCTGTCAGTATGCATCTTGCATCGTTCGTATGATGGATCTTTCCGCACTCAATATACCATATTTTTTTGTGCTGTGTCTAAGAGGAGGACATTATCTTGCCTTACCGAAGGATTGGTGCCAGACGGAGGCCGGTAGAGTCTACGAGTTCCCAGGTGCACCGGGATATTTCGTTGGTGGTGGGAGTGTTTTGTTTTGGCTGTGTGTGTGTGTTCTTGGATTCGGTCTGGCATCTGCATTGTCTGTTAGAGCTTCGATCCCGGGAGTTCTCGCGCCAGACCCCACGTTCCTCTTTCACCTCCATAACCTCATGCCCGTGAGAATAAACACTAGGGGATAATAAAGTTCGGGGTTCAGGGAGAGATCATAAAAGTAGCCCAGCAGACCTCAGCATAATCTCGAAGTAAGAGATGATCAAGAGGAGACCAAGCCGAGCACGTTTTGAGACATCCTTGGCGTTTAGTTTTCATAGAAATATCCTCAACAATGGCTTATCTCATGAAAATTGTTTTTCGTAAGTGCTCGTGTAGGGTAGCTCATGTGCCTCAATTTCCATGGATAATCAACCCCAGAGATAAAGAAGTTCAAGCGAGCGTGGGGACAGAGAGAACTATAAAATAATAATAATACAGTAGAAGAATAATAAGAAAGAAGAAGAAGAGGATAATAAGAAGAGGACGAAGAAAGGAAAAATCCAAAGTTCCAAATCTATCAATTTTAATTTACAAACGCTTTATGAACATTTTCCATGGATAATCAACCCCAGGGATAAAAAAAGTTCAGGCGAGCGTGAGGACAGATAGAAATATAAAAGAAGAAGAGGAACGTAGAAGAACAATAAGAACAGTGCTCGTTTCGTTTGAGTCTGCCTCCCAAAATTATTGGTTTCGCTTGACACATCCTGAAAAGTGTGATCGCTTCGCTTGATGTTGCTGTATCAACATCGCTTGATGTTGCTATCTCAACATAGCGTTTCGAGGTGATAATGAAGTTCGGCCTCAGCGCTCGCCGCCCAATTTGAATTTTGTATAGGGCGACGATAATCAACTCTAAACACTGAAGGGGGGGGGTCCCTTTATTATCATCGGCATGCGGTTACCCCTCCGCCTTCTCCTCACCATGCTCCTCTTCACTCTCCCTTCCGCTTCCCCGCTTCACTTGCTGCGCGTCTCCGACGCTGGGAGGAGGAGGAGGAGGAGCCCTCTGTGCCTCTCCCTCAGCTTCTTTTTCTCACCCTCTCTTCCTCGAGCATTCCAGCCCTGCCCCTTCTCGCCCCTTCTCTCGCTGTGGCTGCGGCTGCGCCACTGCCCCTGTGCCACGGGCCCCCGCTGCTGCTATCGACCCGGCGCTGGCACGACGGGGCGCGGGTTTCGAAGCGCTGAAGACCGTGGGCTCCGATGGCCCGTTGGCTGCCTTCGACAAGACCCGTGCCCAGCTCGCGAGGCTATGCCAGGAGCATCGCGGGGCTCAGTCGGTGCTTCCCTGAGGTCTCATCAAGCTGTGCACGGATAGCAAGCTTAGTCGAACCAGGGTTTCTTTCAACCGATTCCGAGTGAGCTTTGCGCCAAGCTTGCCTCGCCGCCAAGCGTAGGGACAGCACGCGCAAACGCCACGCATCGCGCTCAGCGCTGATGCCTGGAGCCTTCAGTCGCGCTTGCCCCCACCCACGAAGTCGGTGGTTGCGGCATTCGAGTCCAGCGTCTCCTGCAGCCCCGCTGATCATGGCGGCCAGCCCCTGTTAGCCGAAAAGGCACGTGCCCAAACAAATGCGGGGACCGAAAACGTGCCCGCATGTGTAACCGAAAACGTAACGTGACCGAAATGCTGACCGAAATTGCGAATCGTGTTGGTTTCGAACACAGAGGTTCGGTCGCACTCTGGCGCATTCGGTACACATCGGGCGCTGACTTGCGTCACGCTCGGGCGGATTTTCTGGCACTGTATTCCGTCACTGCACCCCACTGGTAGAGACGAAGCTGCGGGACGTTGGCCCGTTCCAGAAGACGAGGGGGGAGGGCACTCGCCGCGCCTTCTCCCGGAGGCCAGTCCCGCTTCTGCTCGTGCCCGTGCCCCGCCGTCCGGGGCATCGTCTCCCTGTACGACGAGCACGACGTCCTCGCGATGGAGCTGATGGAGGGGCACGGGGGGCTGCAGACCGCCTCGGGGCCCCGGGCGCGGGGGACGCCAGGCATCCACACGCACTGGCCCTGGCCTGGCCGCTCCTCGCCCCCATGGTACTGGGGATCGTGCGGCCCTGGCGAAGTCCAAGTCAGACGAGCGCCACTTCTTTCCAGGGCCGGTTTTGCCTGGTACGTGTTCTCCACGTGGACATTCACGATTCTCGGTGATCCTCAGGACGTGTGTTGTCCCAGAGCGTGTTTGCCCCGTTCAGCCCCGCCGATAGCACGCAGCTTGTGCCGGCCCTTCATTACACCGGCGGCGTCGTATTGAAGGGATTCGGCGGACGAACGCACGCAGGTGTTCATACGTTCTGAGGACCATTTGGGGATGTCTGAATGCGTTTTCGCGATAGCCGAGGGCGACCCCAGGACAGACCCAGATTGGCCGCGTGCCAGCCCACGGTCGAGAATGGGCCGCTCCTCGTCCAGGCCCTCGTCCCAGCGAGTCCTCCGCAGCGGCCCCAGCAGACGCCTCCGAATGCTCGCCGGCTTACAAGATTTGCCAACCCAGCCCGCCTACAGTGTCGCCATCGGTCCAGAATGGCTCACATCTCGTGCATGTTTCTCTGTGTTGGGAGCGCCTGCAGATTTGCCGACGGTCAAGAGGTGTACGCTCCTCACGCGTTCCCCCCGTGTTGTATGTCTGTATGGATAAGTGTTTTTGTAGGTTGTTCTACTTCGCATTATACATCATAATCGCGTTTTCCCTCATAAGTGTACATTCCGTAGCTTGCACGTATGTCTTAAGAAGCGCTATTTTGCGTCCAACCGATGGTGTTGACGTGCCCAAGGAGTAACCTTGCTTATGCTTACGACGTTATCGCTGACCTCAATACCCGATAACGTCGGCAGAAAGCCCGAGGTGTATGAAGTCGATCGTAGTGTGTTCCATGTTCTTTGCAGGTCCAGGGCATTGTCACATCCGTTGGCTCATCGTTATTCTCGTTGAGTAGCGGTGGTTGCACAAGTTGCACTCCTGAGCTGAAAAGGTAGTGCACGGTGGAAGGCAATGAAGAGAAAGAGGAGGAGGGGCGTCGTCAGTGCAGCGCGATGCCGGCGAGTGATCATGGCGTCCGCGATCCTTTCGAGCCGTATGTTGGTGCACAGATCCCCCTCCTCCCACAGTCCCCAACGTAGTCTAGCGTACGGTGTTCAGGTTCAGGAGAAGTTGCCGAATGATTGCCCTAGAAGCAATGAGGAGAGCCGATCCTCCCCTTGCGCGTGCAGAACGTACGGTACTGGATGCATTATTATGCGTTGCCGTCCCCTCCCGACACCACACTGTTGTATGTCGCACAGCTCAGATCCGCTCAAAATCGGTTCCCGAACCTCTCCTATGGTCATCCAGCATTGGCGACGAGAAGCCTCCAGGACGCCCAAGCAAGACGAAACACGCAAAAAGCGCCGCCTTGATCCGGGCGGGGCCAGGAAAGGGATACATTGTTTCAGAGCTTTCCAGAACGCCCTCAGAGCTTTCCAGAACGCTCTGAGGGCCGTGGCGCCCGATACATCCACCAGAACCGCCAGATCTCAGAGAATCCCGATTTATCCTTGTCCAATTGTGTCCTTGTCCGGGCTTCGTCTTGATTACTCGTTCCATCAGTCTTCTTTGTGACTTGACTTCAGACAGGTTGCACCCGTGTCTGGATACGCGGCCTGCCGCTGAAGCCTGCGCAGCCGGCGAGGGGCCAGGGCCCCAACTTGCGCGAGTACGCCATGGCGTTGGGCCCGGGCCGCTGGCCGCTTCCAGAGGACTCCGCAGGTGGGAGAACGAGAGGAGGAGGAGGAAGAGGAGGAGGAGGCAGACATCCGCAGCCATTTTGGCTCAAGTCCGTACCGTTCGGCTCAGGATTTGACTTGTTAGCTTGGGGGAGATGGCGCCCAACAGCAGCATCCCTCTTCTGCCAGACCAGACAGTTTTGTGTGGGCTCTTGGTGGAACACATTTCATTTCTCTTGCCTGTTGTTCGGCTCGTGGCCAGTCAGGGCAAGCAACTTGTGGAATTGCGCAGCATGTGGCTACTTCAATTTGGGTTTCCGCGCGAAGTGTTGCCAAACAGGTAGTCAAGGTCATAATCCGAATGTTGGTGCTGTTATTCCTCCTTGGGTGTCTTCGCCTGCTTACGGGAAGTGGGCCAGTGGTCCGCTTTACCCCCGAGGTGCAGGCGCCGTGGTTGGACATGTCCGATGTTCAGCTCACGGCCACCAGTATGGTGTTGGATCAATTTTCGCGTGACAAGCTCGTGGGACGACGATGGCGCCAGAAGAAGGGCATCGACAGCTTCGCCACCATGCAGCAGCTCAAAAGTGCCCAGTCGGAGCTTGACCGCAAGGCGCAGCTGCTGGTGGATGCCCAGGGTTTTGTTGGCAAAGAAGGAGAAACGTACACGTGACGTAGCGCTCTTTCGTATCATGAGCATCGCGTCAAGGTTTCGTCGTTTGGAAAGGACAGGTGGCCAGGACATGCAAGCGCCCGCTGCACCGCTCCAGTCCGCCGCGCAGCTCGACGAGGCGTTGGGGCAGGCGCCGCAAGGGGGCCCTGGGTGCGCTCGAGGCACCGCTCAAGGCTCCGTCGGCGGCGGCGCTGCGCCCGCCACCTGCCCCTGCAGCCCCCGCGCCCGCCCCCTGCCGCGACAGGAGGAAGAAGCGGAGCTGCTGCTGCGCCGTGTGCCGTCGCGCCTGGTGCTTCGCCTGTCGACGCAGCATTGCAACGAAGGATTGCAAAACAAAAAAAAACAGGATTGCAAGAAAACCCTATGCTCAGGGTTTTTTTTTGCAATCCTATGCTCAGGGTTTGTTTGCAATCCTTCGGGTTGTTTTGCAATCCTTGGCTCCTGTCGTTTCGGGTGGCGATGAGATTGGTAGGGATGATGAGGAATGCAGTCTCGACGGTATTGATGGTCAGTGGGTAGATCTGGTCAAGCGTGGTTCGGCAGATGCTGGTTCGAAGCGTGCTGGTTCAGCTGCCACGTAGACTGGAATGGGGTTTGCTTGCGATGGTGATCCGGACCGCTTTGCTTCCCTCCAGCAGCTTCGCGCACCCATAGCCAAGAAGCCCAAGTGCGTTTAGCAACTGGACGATTTTGAGTGCGAGCGCGAATGCGCATTCAAGTTGTTGGCCGTCTTGGGCCGAAGTGTGATCGAGAATGCTTATGCGTTGCTGGCTCGCGAGGCTCACCTTGCGGGCCACCGTTGTGCGGCGTCAGAGAGTGCAATCGTTCGAGTTGAAATGCGCGCTCGTCACCAGCGTCTGCTATTGTTCCAGGTTCTCAACGACATCGTAGATTGATCACGACGACTTGTCGTTGATCAAAACTCACGTGGTGACAACGCGTATCCACAGTTTGGATTGTGTCGAGACTATGTCCAGAAAAGTGGTGGTGCCTGGTCGAATCACAGTCGTGTGCCATTCTGGGCTTCTCAAACGTGGGCTCATGTTGCCGATGTGCATTTGGTTTCAGGCGAAGGCATGGGCTCTGTCAGCGAAAATTTGTTTATGAACGTGGAGAAGCTCTTGCGTGGCTTCCAGTTGTCGCACATAATTGATGGAGACCCCAGCTGTGCACCTGATGGCGCTCGCGAGTCTGACGCGTTGAATGACTTCGGCGCTGCGATGCGGCATTTTGATGCGGCTGTCCACTGCCGGTGGACGCGCGCTTGATGTTCTCGCTGTGTCGCGCCAGTTGCGCGTTGACTGTCCTCTGCTGGTGCTAGGCCACAAGTGCGGATTGCCCTGTGCCCGAGCTTTGTCCAGTCGTTCGGCCCGTGGAATGTCTTCGGCAGGATCGCGCGGGGCGGCTGAGAGAGCGCGAGATCAGGTTGAGGTTCAGATTCGAGAGATTCGGGCTATTGGGGGCCAGGGCGAAGCGTCCAAGATGGGCCCGCGACGGTCTGGGACTCGTTCATCAGACAAACTGAAGTTGAACTCTGCGTCGCGCGCGGCGCGTCGGGGGGGGGGCAGCAAACGTCGAGGTAGAGAGAGCCCCTCGTTTACTCGACGAGCGCCTGCATTGGCCCCAACGGCCCCGAAGCTAGCGCAGGCGATTTGGCTTCGGCAACTTGCAGCTGCCATGTTTTTCTGCGTCGAAGGCGTGCCGGCCGCTCACTCGGACATGCTTTTTGGCGCGCGCTCGATCGAGCCCCCGCGCCGACGCTGCGCGAGAGCGCGGCGCTGGGCGATGGTGCAATCTCTCCCAGGCGGGCCCTCCTCAGCTTCGGGGCGCATCTCTGCCGGCAGTCCTGTCCGGCGCCATTGAGGAGCCGGCCCTGGACATGGCCATGGGGGGCGAGGCCAGGAGGCAGAAAGGGTTTTCAGCGGCGGGTCGACGAGCATGCAGTAGGCGCGGCTCGGGGGCGCCATCAGTTTACCAAGGTCCCGATGGGCTTCCAGGACTGCAGTGACGAAACACCGCATCGGCCGTGCGTCCGTCAGCAGCTGATCGACTTGATGCAACTGGAGTGGGCAGGATGGCGGAAGGTTGGGGAGTGGCATCGTGACCTCGACTAGTCATATGATCTTGGTACGAGGCCCGAGAGGCCCACTGTCTCTCGTTCGAGGGCTGTCCTGGGCACCTCCCCGAAGGCGGCCGGGATGTCCGTTTGCGCGTTCCGCCCGCAGCAGTTGAATCAGTTGAGCGACAATGCTCTGGAAATGTTTTTGGACGCGCCCATGTCCGTGGAGGCCGCCGCGGGATGGCCTCAGCTGGCATCTGAGATCGCTGCTGTTTCTAAGCGATCGGGAGGCGCGCGGCCAATTGCACGGATGCGCGTGTTTCGCGCGCCCAGGCCAGCCTCCGCCACCCGATTGTTTGCGAGTGGGGATATTGGAATGACGGATTGCACTCCTGGACTTCGGCGGGTAAGTCGCGCGATCGGGCTCTGGCAGCGAGCGGCCTGGTCCGACTTCGCGAGCACTGAGGCGAAAAGGCTCTGCAAAGGGTATCGGGGACCCTGGCATGTATTTGTTTGACCTCCTGAGGGCTTTCGAGCAAGTGGGCCATCGCTGGCTCCTCGAAGCTGAAACTGCGAAAGGATTCCCACTTTGGCAGTTGAGCGTGAATATTTCGAAATTTAGCTGAGCGTGATTGATGCTTTTGTCGGGCGGTCTCCTAACCGTTGCAGGTCGAGCAGACCGCGCGTCCGGGGGGTGGCCACATGCGTGCTCCAGCACATTTTGTTGGGACCGCTTGCTGCGCGTCGCATGCGCCGCGCCGTCGTGTCCATTGCCGCGTCGTCGCGGACGGCTTGCTGTTGCACCGCGTGGGTTCTCGGGTGCGCGTCGCTCGGGGGCTTTTGCAGGCCGTGCTGGTGTTCCAGAATGCATTTGCGGGTGTTGAGTTCAACGGTCATGTTGATACATCGCGGGTGTTGTGCGCTGATCCTGAAGTGGGCGTCTGCTCGTGAGTTTCGGCGGCGTGTAAGTGCGACATCGGTCACGCAATATCGACCTCTGGGCGTTGATTTCGAGTGCGGTCGTCGCGTCGGGCATGCTGCGCGCAATGAACGGCGGAGAAGAATTCGGCAGAGATTGCGCGGGCTGGGTTGTTCTCTGTTCGACACGACCCGCATGAGATGTGAGTCGAGCTGCGCGGGGGCCGCCATGTGAGCCTGAGGAAGGGATGAGGAGGGGGAGCAGGAACACGAGCGCGGGAGGACGAGGGCGAGGAGGAGGAGGAGGTGAATGACGATGGCGAAGAAGTGGGGGAAGGGACCGAGGCGGATGTAGGTTCTGCAACGCCCGCATGTAACGGACTTCGCGATGTCGCCGATCAGGCGAGCGAAAGCGCGAGCTGTAACACGCGGCGCCGATGTGAATAGACCCCCCGGCGCGCGCGTGGTGATATTGTTTATGTACGAGTTCGAATGTATGTATGCATGTACGTATTGATGTATGTGTGTATGTGTGTATGTGTGTATGATATGCGATGTGATGTGTTGTGTTGTGATATGACGTAATGTAGTGCCATGTCATGCCATGCCATGTCATGACATGTGTGCACGTTTGAAAGAGCGCGTTCTGTGGTCGTTCGGGAGGGGGGGGGGGAGCTGGACCCCCCCCCTTGTGACGGAGGGGGGGGTCGACCCCCCCCCTCCCCCTATGTTTCTTCTCCCTCTCTCTCCGGGCCGGCGTCGGCGGCGGCTGACGGCGGCGGCGGGGGTGCTGGTGGTGGTGGTATTGGCCGTGTCTGTTTTGGTGGTGAGGTGGTTTGTGGTGGTTGTGGTGGTGGGTGTGGTGGTGGTGGGTTGTGCTGCTGGTAGTGGTGGTGATGGTTGTGGCGGTGGTGGTGGTGGTGGTGGTGGTGTGGTGGATTGTGGCGATGGTGGTGGTAGTGGTGGTGGGTTGTTGTATTGGTGGCGGTGGCGGTGAGGTGTGGTGCTGGTGGTGATGGTGGCTTTGGTGGTGGTGGTGGTTGTCTTTTGGTTTGGTGGTTGTGGTGGTGGGTTGAGGTGGTGATGGTGGAGGTCGTGGTGGTGGCGGTGGTGGTGGTGGTCATTTGTGGTGGTGGTGGGCTGTGGTATTGGTGGTGGTAGTGGTGCTGCTGATCGTGGTGCTGGTGGTGGTGGCGGGTGGTTGGTGGTGGGTGGTGGTGGTGTTGGTGGTGCTTGTGGTGGTGGTGTGGTGTTTTGCGGTGGTGGTGTTGGTGGTGGGTTGTGGTGATGGTGGTGGCTGTGACGGTGGTGGTGATGGTGGTGATGGTGGTGTTTATGGTGATGGTGGGTTGTGGTGCTTGTGGTGGTGGCGGTGGTGGTGGTGGAGGTATGGTGGTCTGTGGTGGCGGTGGCGGTGGTGGTGTGGTGTGGCCATCGGCTCTTCCCGCCATTGCATTTTTGTTTGCAAAGGGTCACATTTCTAATGGATGCCTCTTTGAGATCTCCTCAGAAGGGTCTCGGGGGCGTCTGGGGAGCATGCGAGGGTTCGATATGGTATGTGTGCGTTCCCTCTGCGGCCTTTGGGCCCTTTCTGGTCATCGTCGCTGCGTCCCCGCCGTCGGCGCTGCTGGCCGCCGCCAGCGCTGGCGCTGGCGCCGGCGCGGGGGCACGGGGTTTAACCCCCCCCCCCCCCCCCTCCTGGGCTCTCTCTGGTCATCGTCGCTGCGTTAGCGCTACGGCGCCCGCCAGCGCTGGCGCCGGCGCCAAGGGGTGGGGGGGTTCGGGATGGGGGGGTTAGGGGGGGGGGAGTCCCCCTGGTTCTGATCGACGGCGCGCCGAGTGTTGGGGGGGGGCCCACCCCCTGGTTCGAAACGCGCCGCCGAATGTTCCCAAGGCAAACGCGCGTGAAACGCGCTCTCTCGTATCTTTGTATGTATGTTTGTATGTATCTATGCATGCATGTGTGTATGTATGGTTGTATGTATGTATGTATGTAGGTACCTACGCACGTACGTGCGTACGTACGTATGCATGGATGTACGGATTCACGAATGTACGCATGGACGTGTGGACGTATGTACGTGTGTACGTATGTATGTGTGTACGGACGATGTATGTATGTATGTATGTATGTATGTATGTATGTATGTATGTATGTATGTATGTATGTATGTATGTGTGCACGCATGCATGCATTCATGCATGCATGTACGTATGCCTGAGTTTATGCATGTACGTATGTATGTCTGCATGTACGCATGCACCCCATCATCCCGCCACCGCTCCTGGGTTGCAAGTCGGAGTTCTCAGGGATGCTTGTCGCAGGGGGGGACTGTTGGGGGGCAGTTGTGGCGCCTCCCAGGAGCCCCTTGTGGGCCTCTTTGGGGACTCTTGGGGCCTCTTGGGGGCCTCTTGGAGGCCTCTTGATGTCCTCTTTGGGCCTCCTGGGGGCCCCTCGGGGCCGAGGGGTCGAAATGTCCGCTCGGGTCCTTCATCTGGGCTTTCCCCATCGGAGCCGTCTTTGGGGCCTCTTGACTTGTCTTGGGCGCATATTGGGCCGTCTTGGGGTCCGCTTGGGCCGTTTTGGGGCTTGGGGGCTCTTGGGCCGTCTTGGGGAGATCGTGGTTTCTTCTAAGGCCGTCTGGGAGCGTCGGAAAGCCAACAAGGCGAGAACGCAACACATTCTCAAACACAAGGAACAATACGTGATATCGTCCTTTTCGGGCCTTCTTGGAAAGCCTCTTGGATGCCTCTGTGGGAGTCTTGGAGATCTTTTGGCAGTCTCGGGGGCATCTCGGGCGTCTTGGAATTATTGTTGGCGTGTCGAGGCCACAAGTGACCACGTTGGGAATATCTTGAAGCTCTCTTGGCCGTTTTGGAGCACTCTCGGGCCCTGAGACATTCACGCGGGGAAGCAAGCGCCCAAGGAGATTCGTGACTTCGGGGCCCAGACCCTTTCAAGACCTCAGGATCGAGGGTTCAGGCTCAGGGGATGATGCAATGGACCTGAGGTTCCGGGTTCCCAGGTTCCCGGTTCCAGGTTTGCTGCCGATTTCGGTGGGCGGCGGGGTTCCCGGGTTCCTGGGTTCCTGGTCGATCTTATTGTCGATTGGTCTCACCATCGATCTCACTACCAACCTCTCGATCGATCTCGTTGTCGATCTCACAATCGATCTCACGATCGATCTCACAATCGATCTCTTTGTAGATCGCACGAGCGATCTCATGTTCGATCTCACTATCGATATCATTGAATCGACTTCACTACTGGTCTCACGATCGACCTTACAATCGCCCTCACTATTATCAATTCCACGATCGATCTCACGATCGATCTCAGCATCCATATCACTAATTTTCAAACCATCCTCTGATTGGGGCTCTCTCTTGTATAATATTCATATATATATGTATATATGCATGTACATTCGATGGCCGCGTCCTCTGTCAAAGGACCTCGTGCTGGTCCTCGGCGCCGCGCTGGTAGGCCGGCTCCAGCAGCTTCACGCCGCAGGCATTGCCCCGCCAGCTGGCTGCCACCGCCTCTCCAGCTTGGTCTTCGCATTATGGGTCTTGGGTGAAGCGGATCGTAGACGGGGGTTTGCCCTGGACAGTTCGTGGTCCTGGGATGTTTTTTCTGTCCAGAAGGCCTGGGGCCCGTACGCGGCGAAGCGTTTCTAGTACCCGTTGCCTCTGGGGCCCGTCAGTTTTCCGTGCCAGGTGATGTAGCCATTGCCGGGTAAAGCCAGGGCCCCAGGTAAGGGGGGCACGCGGAGAGCAGAGGAAGGGAGGTGAGGAAGGAGGACGGGAAGGGGGAGGGAGGACGGAAGGAAGGAATTCGGGGCGTCGTCTTTCAAAACGAGGACCCAACACCACAGGATGGTTGGGAACAAAAATTGCGCTCCCGTTGCCTCGAATTAGGTTTTCTGCAATATTGATCAGAGAGCGCGTACTTTGGGGCACGATCCGTGTCAAATAATACCATGCGGGCCACTCTCGCGGGTCTGCCGCGCGCGCGTGTCGAATTTGTTCCAAAACCTTCATCGCCGACGCGAGGAGGCCATCGTCGTCGGCGCGATCGGCGTCGGCGGCGTCATTGGCCGCGCCGTCGCTCTTGACACCATTGTCGCCAACGTCGCTATTATCATCCTCGCGTCTACCGCTGTGGACGCCGATATGATACAGCGCCCGCCAAAGTGGCCGACTCGCATTGCAGTGCCCGCTGGGAACTGCCCGGAGGTCAGCGCCGCCGCGGCTGCGTCGGTCGCGCCAAGCTGCGTCCGTGAGCATGCCAGGGCTACCGCGGCCGCAGAGATGCACCAGCCAACACCAAGCGCTCATCGCAATCGCCGGCGCACGTGTTTTGCAAATCAAGTTGCGGGTGGGTGGGTGGTATCATCGCGCGAGCAGTGGCGTTGACAATTGCGAGTTCCACGAGCAGCGAATTCCACCACGCATATTCTCCTGTCTAGAAAGAAAATAGACTCTACCCCCCTGGGATTACTGGCGCCTTTATTTCCCCAGTCAGTGCTTGCACTGAAGGGGCCCTCGAGGATGTTGAAGGATTTGGCGAAAGTGCCCCGCCGATTTTGGTCGCGCGCTGGGTTCCTGGGGTCCTGGGTTCCTGGCTCCGGGTTCCCGGTTTCCCGGGTTCCCGGTTTTGGGCCGATTTCGGAGGGCGGCGAGGTTCCCGGGTTCCCGGGTTTTTGGTCGATCTTCTTATCGATCGGTCTCACCATCGATCTCCTTACCGACTGATCGATCTCACCATCGATTTCACAACCGATCCCATTATCAATTTTACAAGCGATCTCACTAGAGATCGCTGAGCCATCTCGCGATCGATCTCATAATCGATCTCATTGAATCGATATCACTCTCGGTCTCACGATCGACCTTACAATCGTCCTCGCTAACCATTCCACTATCGATCCCACTATCGCTCTCACAATCGATCTCAATATCCATAGTAACAACTTTCAAATCATCCACTATTAGGGGTTTTCTCAAGGGTAGTCGTATTGCAATTTTAAAATGATCCTGCCACATCGTCCATGCTAACGATGAAGTCGCACCATCCCAGCCCAACCTGTATCGTCCCCCCCCCCCCGCCATCCCCGTCAACAAATACTGCGCGCGTGCACTTGCGTATCGCAAACGATTGGTGTCCAAGAGCCCCTTGCAAACAACAACAACAAAAACGAAGTGCACACGCGCGCGTCGTCTCGCCCGCATGCGCAAATCCTTCAAATACCGTTGATTTCGTAAGGGCTTCAAAATCGAGTGTCCAAAAGCATATAACACGCATGGTTGCGGATTTAAAAACTGCGCGCGCGTTCTTGCGATTTGTTTTGCAAGCCATAGGTGGTTCAATATTTCCATAACGTGCTATCAAGCAGGTTTCGCGCGCGCATGTCGAATTCGTTTGAACGCTCTCGCGCGTGCTGGGGTGGCAGAGTGCTTTTCAAATAATACAATGCGGGCCATTTTCGCGCGTCAGCCGCGCGCGCATGTCGAACTCTTTCCAAAATTTTCATCACCGACGTGAAGACGCCCTCCTCGTCGTCGGCGTTATCAGCATCGTCGGCGCCGTCATTGGCTGCCACGTCGTCGTTGTCAGCATCGTCACCAGCATCGCTAATGTCATCATCGTGTCTACCGTTATCGACGTTGCCATGATACCGCGCCCGCCCAAGTCACCGACTCGCACTGAAGTGCCCGCCGGGATGTGCCGAATTGTCAGCGCCACCGCTTTCGCGTCGGTCGCGCCACACTAGCTGGCCGCTGCGCGCGCGACCATGCGCGGGTCAGCGCGGCCGCAGACATGCACCAGCCAACAACAAGCAATTATCGCAATCGCTTCCGAATGGGTTTTGCAAACTAGGTTGCTGGTGGGTGAGTGGGGTGATTGCGCTAGCTGTGGACTCGACCACTTCAAGTTCGGCATGGTGAATTGCACCACCTAGACTGCACCACATGTGCTGCGCCACCTGGACTGCACCACATACATTGCACCGCGTACAGTGCACCATGTAGCGTACACCACATAGCATGCGCCACATATGTTAAACGACGCAGGTTGTTCAGCCCAGATTACGCCACGTAGCTTGCACCACATATCGCACCTCCTATATTACATGATAGTGCATGCTCGAACCGATTGTTTGTTGTCCATGCTGGTTAACGTGATTGTTCCTTCAGGTGTGCAGGTCCCGTTTGTGGATTTGGGCGGGGGAAGTGCCTGCCCCCAGGCACACATCACTAAACCAAGCCCCGCTCAACCCAGTCTTGCCAATGTCCGACGCTGAGCGTCACTGGGGCGCCTATGACGCCCACTGAAGCCTGGGACACCGACAGGGTTGCGAAGGTATTCGCGTGTCTTGCTCCGCTGCCAGGCTTGGGGGTTTGTTATCTTAAGGCTGCCGCCTCCGCCGCCGACCCCAAAGGGGGCTTATGGGGAGAGTGGGTAGACGGTTTCCCGGTTGATTCATTATCGTTGGGCCCGTCTTGCGCCGTCTACGGCGCCTGGAGACCTTCCTGGAGCATTTTGGGGCCATTTTGTTGGCTCCTTTGGCGGCCTCTTGTTGCACTCATTGGGCCCCCTGGTTCAGAAGAAATTGCAGGGTGGGTGGCCCGTAAAAAACCCACCAAAAGCGCATGCCCAGAAGCCTCGGGAGGCTGGGGGCGCCAGGGTGCAGGGGGGGGGCGTCCCGGCGAAGAATTTGCAGGGTGGGTGGCTTCTAAAAAGTTTCCCCAAAAACGCATGCCCAAAGGCCTCGGGAGGCTGGGGGTGCCGGGGTGCAGGGGGGGGTCCAGGCGAAGAATTTGCAGGGTGGGTGGCCTCTTAAAACTTACCAAGAACTCATGCCCAGAGGCCTCGGGAGGGGTGCCGGGGTGCAGAAGGGGGTCCTGGCGAAGAATTTTCAGGGCGCGCGGGCGGCTTTTAAAAACTTGCAAAAAACGTATGCCCAGAGGGCTCGGGAGGCTGGGGGTGCCGGGGTGCAGAGGGGGGGCCCAGCGAAGAAGAAATTGCAGGGTGGGTGGCCCGTAAAAGACCGACCAAAAACGCATGCCCAGGAGCCTCGGGAGGCTGGGGGTGCTGGGGTGCAGGGGGGGTGCCGGCGAAGAATTTGCAGGGTGGGTGGCCTCTTAAAACTTACCAAAACGCATGCCCAAAGGCCTCGGGAGGCTGGGGGTGCCGGGGTGCACGGGGGGGGGGTCCCGGCGAAGAATTTGCAGGGTGGGCGGCTTTTAAAACTTACCAAAAACGGATGCCCAGAGGCCTCGGGAGGGGTGCCAGGGTGCAGGGGGGGGTCTCGGCTGCCAGGCTTGGAGATTTGTTATTTCCTAGAAGCCGCCGGGGTACAGCACGACGGTGCGACAATCGTCGCGCAATGCATTACGCGAGTCGCCAAGTTTTGTTGATCCTTTGGCGGTGAAAGATCGTTACCCGGGGGGGAGGGGGGGGGGGCGGCCGTTCACGTCACGATTAAGGTTGGCGCCATTTTGGTTTTTTAAAGAATGCTTCATTCCCACAAGGCACCGGCTTGATTCGTGACGTGGCAGGGGGTGAGGAGGGATGCTGCACCAGGTTCCTAGAACATTTTCGGAGTTCCCCCTCAGCATTCGGAAACTTTTTTGGGGACTTGTTTGGGAACCTGGAGACTTATGTGTTCATGGATGCCTGTGGAGGTCACTGGAGGTCCCTAGAGGACTCGGACCACGCATGGATGGCTCGAGGGGGCTGATTCGGCCGGGGGGGGGATTCCGTACTCCATTTGGTTGTGCATTTTGGGCTTCAGAAAGGTACCGATGGGATTGGCACTCCGCGAGATGAGAGATTTCTCCACGGACGTGATGGCAGTCGAGTTTCAAGACGAACGAGGATTTAGGCTGACATGGGGTACAACGAGGGTTTCTGACCAAGCCTCAAGCACTCGTGGCCATGCCAAAACGATTCGCTGGTCGAAACTAAGACGGGAGGGGAGTCCTAGTGGCACAGGATTGATGTTCGATGGTCGGACGGTCGAACTATATCCCTCGTGTTCATGTACCGCTCGTCTGGGGCGCATTGTTGCAAGACGCGGTGCACGCAATGTCCGTCCAGCTGCGCGCTTGCTTCAATGCTCGCCCTGGGCGGACATAACTTCTCACTTCACGTGCTCAAAGTAGTCGGCGGTCCGCCTTACAGGGGCAGCACCTCATCTGAACAGTATTTCATGTGATCAAATGGGCTCAACACACAAACCAAGCTTGATCCTTGCGATCTCCTACTCAAGTGAATGCCTTCACGGGGCTCAATCGAGGAAGCGCGTTCTCTGCCATGTCTTGAGCAATGCCAGTTCTGTATACGTAGTCCGCCGCACTTGCAAGTAGAGTGAAAGTGTGCCTAGGTTTGGGCGCACAGCGGTGTAGTCCAACGCCAATGCAAAATCAGGGTGAGGGGGTCGAACGGTACTTCATTGCTCGTGGGTGCGTGGCAGAACTGGCGTCCCGTCGGGCGAATTCTGCTTGTTGTTGCGTTGAGGTCGTCCTCGCCCGAGGCCCGCCCCACGACCCACCCGCGACCTTCTGCGACCCATCCCCATCGCTCCTGTCCGTGATTGCGGGGTGCTGCAGCAGCCCGCCGCAACGGTGTGGGCCCGGGGCGGCGGACCTTCGGCGGGGCGGCGGACGGTCTCGCGGTGCAGGTCATGAGTGGATCGCGGGGCAGGTCGCGGGCAGCAGTCACGGGTGGGTCGCGGGCGGGGCGCGAGTGAGTCGCGCGTGCGTCGCCAGTGGGTGCGGGGCGCGGGGCGGGCCGACAGCACGACTCGGCGGTAAGGCCAGGGGGGGAGTCAGAGGAGGCGGGCTTGCTCAGAGCGCTCGGACGGCCTCGGGCCTTCTAAAAAGTTCTATGAGCCTTCTCCGAAGGTGCCGAACACTTCTCAAAAGGCGCGAGAGTTTCTGAGAAGCTCGGGTTCGCCGCCAAAAGAAGAACGATTGTCCGAATCGCGGAACCCCAAATCAGCCCCCCACCCAGGGACAACGCAAGACCGTTCGGCTTCCTCACTCTGACTTGTGCAATAATCCGATTGTGTTGAAGTAGTTGGTATGTAGTGTTAGGTGGACTTCGGAGTGGCGTTGTCTACCCAGGTGCTGCATCCGTGGCGGCGGTGGTGGAGATGATGGGAGCAGGCCATGATCAGGGTAGAGGCTCATGTTATTAGTCCCGTGTCAGGTTTCGTTCACAGAGACATCAAGCCAGACAACGTGGTGTTGTCCCTGGAGGACCCCACCACACGCCCCTGGGCAGAGTTACTCGCTTACGCGACACGGTCCACAGCATTGATTATGTTGTAAGAGTCTTTGACCTTCAGTCCTCGGATTCTGCCCCCCCAGCCCCCCCCCCGACCAGGAGGAGGAGGAGGCTACGGTAAGCATGACCAGGCCGTCTCCCCCCCTCTAAATCATTCCTCCCTTCTCTCATCTTCTTTCTCCTTGCCCCAGCCAGCATCCAGACGCAGAAGCGACGTCAGACGTGTACCAGGGGTCAAGTTTGAGTTTGTTTTCGCTTGCGTATTGCCAGCCAGATATGTTGGCAGGTGGGTGCAAGTCTTTGCCTTGCCTGTCTCATTCCGTTGGGACACCCGTGCACGGCATTTACAGTTCAGCGTGTTCGATCGCAGATCCTCTGAGCTGGGAGGGTCACGCAGGCAGCATCCTGTTTTTGGACGTACCAGCTTATCTTCGATATCAGGCTGGTCCCCGATTGACTGTCCGGACCGTTACGGCGGATGCCCAGTACTTGATGATACGATCTGCGGTCCGTAATTCTTGACATTTTCGTTGCGTGCCCCCGCCTCTGTATCATGGGCTCTATGTGTCAGGACGCTATAATGCATCTGCATTTGCAGCGTTGACTTTGCTTCGCGCTCTGTTTGCACTTGGCCCGTGATACGAACGGCACGCGCACGAGTTACATGCATGTGGATGTTTGCGAGGAAAAAATGTTGGCAGGTGGTAGTATAGTCGTGCCGTTATCGTCCCTAGCCCTTCCTGCCCCTCCCTCTGTGATGGGGCTCGATGGATGAGGACATGAATGCGGGCAAGACAGCTCGTCATATCCATTGAGTCCCGGATGTTCTTTGGTAAGGGGCGCCAGAAGGCGGAGGCGCAGTCGATATGGATGAGCATTTAGCCTCTAGGGGCCAGAATTTTCTTCACAACCTTTTCGCCTCTAGTTTCAGAGAAAGGGAACCCGTACACGTCTTGGATATGAATACGCGTCTTGCCCGCATTCCAGGCGCTCGCAGAGGTCTCACCCGACCGCCGACCGCTGCGCCTCGCCGCGCCTTCCACCTCATGCCCCAGTGCCCGCCGTCCGCGGCCGGGGGCGGGCGCCCCTCTGCCGAGGTGACCTACCTCGGATGCTTCCGGTGAGCCTCGCATGTCTTCGGAATTCCGCCTTTGGGATGGACTCGCGCGCGCTGGCGTCTGGCAGTCGATGCGAGAGCGCCGACTTAGCATCGATTCAGCGTCGGTCAGCGTCGATTCGCAGTGGCCAGCAAGATGGCATGGGAGGCTCCCGTGGGTTGCCACCGAAGAGGTGGAGGGGGGGGTCGGACGGGGAGGGGGGATCTTCCTGTCGTCTTGGCCTTCGAATGGGGTCAGAGACGGGGGGTCGAAAATGAGTCCCCGAGGTGGGGTCCCAAGGATAGGAAGGGGTTTCCGGGCAAGGCCTCCTCGCGCTGGGGCCCCCCACTGCGAAGCGCCGATCTCGCGCCCATTCCTGCTCCTCCTGATCACCCTGTTCCTCCGTCCGCTGGTATCCCCCAGCTTGAGCGTGCTGGTGGCCCGAGCGTTCCCCGCATGCAGAGTCAGCCCAAAAGCTGTGGTCAAATCGCCACTCAGGTGTCACTTGTTTCATGTTTTATTGAGGAGCTTCAAGCACCCAAGATTTGTCTACTGCGACGGCCTTACGGCCGGTGCCGCCGACCCTGAAGGGAGACGACGACGACGACAACGGCGGTGGCGGCAACGACGACGACGCTGACGTGTGCCAGAGTCCTCAGGGCTGGTTCTTAGGGTCTTTTCGGAAGTCTCTCGGGGGCCTCTGCGGAGGATTTTCGAGGCCTCTTCGGAGCCTGTTGGGGGCCTCTTGGGAACCTCTTGGGGGGGGGCCTCTTCGGGCTTCCTGGGGACCTCTTGTGGGCCTCTTGGGAACCTCTTGGGGCCTCCTGGGAGCCTCTTGGGGCCGAGGGCTCGAATTGTCCGCTCGGGTCCCCCGTCTGGGCACGCTCTTGGAGCTGTCTTGGGGACCTCTTTGGCCGTCTTGGAGGCGTTTTGGGCTGTCTTAGGGTCCTCTTGGGCTGTTTTGGTGTCCTCTTGGAGGCCTCTTGCGCCGTTTTGGAGCGGCGGGAAGTGGAAAAGGCGAGGACGCCAAAGTCGTAAAACAATATTGTGAAATCGTTGAATTTGGCCTCTTGTGGCCCTCTCGGGAGTGCTGTTGGAGGCGTCTTGGGGCGTCCTGGAGGCCTCCTGGGCAGCCTGGAGGGCGTGAGCGCGTTTTGGACCGATCATTTGGCGATTGGGGACCCTCTTGGACAGTCTCGGAAGCCTCTTGGGGTACTCTTGGCCTGTATTAGTACTTTCTGAGGCCCCGGGGCCCCCAGGGGGGGATGCGCATCTGACCCCAACCCCCCCGGACCCCTCCCAGGACCCTTCCCCAGGACCCCCCTTGGCCTTAATGTTACGCTGTGAATATTTCCGGGTCCTGCATTTCCATACGTATTCACAGCTTGCCGTTTGTGCGTGCGTGTGTTCAGCAGTTTCCGCCGCTGCCGCCTTGGCTCAAGGCGTGAGCGGGCGGGTTTGAATTTTCTGCAGCAGCCAGCGAATTCGCTGGCAACGACTCGTCGTCAGGGAGGGTCCGATACGTTGCTGGGCTAAGGGTGGAGCCGATCCAGCATTTGCATCGCCGAGCAACCCGAGCACGCGCCAAACCTCGACGCCGAGAAGAGCGAGCCGACCGAGCACGCCCGACACCTCTTCGCCGAGTAGGGCACAGAACCTGCGGGGCCTTTTTTATAATCCTGGGACATGCGCGGGTTCAGCGGGATCGTCTCGGGCATCTGAGGGGCGCGCTCGAGATCCAGGGGGGCGCGGGCGAGTTCGATTAACGCCATCGGAGAACCTGGGCCTCTGCGCCCCGCCCTGCAACTTTTAGGACGGAACGACAAAACGAGTTCTACGGCTTTGTGCGGCTCAGAAGCGCCGTTCAGTATCCCGCGCGGATTCCCGGTCCGGCGTCTTCAATGCCATCTTGTTCATATTCTGGCCAGTCGGCCCCAGCGCCAGCGGGTGCCATGCAGCGGCTCGTCTTTGGGGCCTCCTCGGGGTGCCGCCGCCGCCTGCCGCGCGCCCAGAGCGGGCGCGGCGTCGGACGATAACTTCGCCCGCGCCATCGGCGCCAGCATCGGCGTTAACGACTCCAGCCTCATTCCCAGCTTCGCCGCCACTGCCGCGGCCGATCAACAGCCCCACAATGGCCGGGTCTCCAGCGGCCTGCATCCCATCGGGGAAGTGCCCATGCAGCGAAATTGTGGGGCGGACCAAACGGGGCCGCAGTTGCGTGGGCGATCAGAGCCGCTTTTGTCTACGTCAGCTGGCGCCCAACTTCTCAGCGCCGGTCGTGATGGCGACGCCTGCCACCAGCAGGACCCGCAAGACTTCCGAGGTCGAAGCGTTCGTCTGCGGGGCGCCCAACAGGGCGATTCGGGGACGCAGCTGTCGGGGGGGAGGTAGTCGCAAGTGCCTCAGGGCGGACGACCAGATCGCCATCGGGGACATCAGGTGCCAAGCCGCGAATCTTACGCTGGAGGCGCCTGGCCACCAAGCTCGCCAAGGGGGGCCCAGAGAGCCCGTGGGAGTTCCTCCAAAAGCCGACAGACGCGATGCTGGATGATTCAGAGCTGTCGGAGGGCCTGGAGAATCGATCGCTCTGAAGCAGCTGGACCAGGAGGACAGAATGAAATTCGCCGAGACGCAGAGCAAGATCCTGAATCAGATCTACCGCTCCGCGGCCGAAGACACAGTCGCCTTGACCAAGTCCACCAGAGCTGGCCTGATGGAAGTCTGTTGCCTGGAGGCATCATCCCTTGGAGAAGCCGTCGAAGCACAAGGTGGCATGGCTTTCCGTCGCCGCCCCTTCAACGGCTTTCGACGTGGCCACCGCGACAGGTGCCCGTCGAGCCATTCACCGTCTCCGGCGAGTTCGGCCTCGACGCCTGGCCCTCAGCCCACCGCGCACTGCGGAATGCCCCACGCAGGACCTGAACCAGAAGAGCGACTCGCAGAGAACCACCCCGCCAACAAGGTTCGACCAGCATGCCGTTTCCAACGTGGATGTCATGCACTCTACGAAGAAGCCAAGCGGATAGTCGACTGCCCCGTCGTTTTTGAGCAGCCTTGGAACAGCTGGAATTGGTTCACGTCCGTTCCCATCAAGACGATGCGTGACGAGATGCACGGGACGGTGGTGCACGGGCGTGCGCGTGGACGACGGGAAAATTACCTGGTCGGGCATCCCCATGAAGAAGGTTTGCCGGATCTGCTCTACCGGACCAGAGTCTGCCCGGAAGGTGGGGCGACATCGCTCCGACGGACCAGGTCGAGGTGATGAACCGCTTGCGCCGCATCATCGAGGGCGAGCCCGCGGTGGCGCAGACGGCCCAATGCCCGCCAGCCATGTGCAAGGCCTGGGATGAACACATCACGAATACTAGCGAGAGCGCGCAGTATGGGATGGAGATCTTCGCGGGCCTGGAGCAGATCCCAGAGGGCGCCGACGCGGGGATACAGGCGGAGACCGAGGAGTTACCGACGGATGAGGACATCGAGATGGGGAAAGCCGACATTCTGGTCAAGGGCCTCGATATCAAAGAGGAACTCGCCAACGAGAAGATCTCAGAGATAGACGATAGACCAGCGTCGCTTCGCCCACGCCGCAACCTGGGCGCCCCATCAGCAAGGCGCTTTCCGTGATGTTGAAGGCCCAGTACAGATACTTTGCCGCGCGCTGTAGTTCCCACGCCATAGATGCCGCATCGGAAAAGCTACTGAGGGCCGCGCGGAAGCAGTGGAGGCCCGTGCAGTTCGGGAAGCATTGGCCTGGCGCGTTCTTGAACGGCCATCTCCGACATAGGACTCTCGCAACATGACCTTGAATATGGATGGCGGCTCGGGACTTGCAAGTGTGACGCACCGTGGGCAGGGGGGCGAGTGAAGCG